ATAATAACAACACTATCCATTTAGCTTTTCACACACAGTCTGAAGAGTTGCTTTGGAAAAGGAATGCTTTGCTGAGTGCCAAGTTTTGGAAATGATTATTTCTGTAGTATGGATGCAACCTTAGTTTCAAACTTTTGTTCTAATCAAAATGTCAGCATTGCTCTTTTAAGAAGGGAAGTTTAATGGAGTTTTTGGTTTAATACAACTGTTTTCTATCATCCATTCTACCTCCATCTCTGGTATAATGAGGTTGGCTGAAAGTATTTTGGTTGAAAATAATTTCCTGTTACTTTTGTAACCACTGACTGAGCAAGATACTGTATCTATGTGAGTATATTGCACATATTTACCTTTGTTGCATTAATTTGTGAATGGTATATAAATACATAGGATGTTTTTCCCCCAGGAATATCTATAATTATTGTATGAATTACCCATGCATATTGGGTAATTGAGGGAAGTTTATATTGAAATGTTTGGAATGTTTTCCCCATCTGTATCACAGCATTCCTTTTAGAACTTGGGGTGTGTCCACACTGGAGAAATAATGCAGTTTGGTACCACTTTAATTGCCCTGGCTCAATGCAATGGGATTCTGCGATTTGTAGTTTTGGGAAACATGTAGCTCCTCTATCAGAGAGCTCTGGGCCTGCAACAAACTGCAATTTCCAGGACTCCATAGGATGGAGCCATGACAATTAAAGCGGTGTCAAACTGCATTAATTCTGCAGTGCAGATGCAGCCTGGGATATAGAATCATAGAATAATAGAATCATAGAGTTGGAAGAGACCCCAAGGGCCATCCAGTCCAACCCTCTGCCATGCAGGACCTCACAATCAAAGCACTCCCAAAAGATGGCTATCCAGCCTCTGTTTAAAGACCTCCAAGGAAGGAAACTCCACCACTTTCCGAGGGAACGTGTTCCACTCTCGAACACCTCTCACTGTCAGGAAGTTCCTCCTAATGTTTAGGTGGAATCTCTTTTCCTGTAGCTTGCATCCATTGTGTCGTGTCCTATTCTCTACAGCAGCAGAAAACAAGCTTGCTCCATCCTCAACAGGACATCCTTTCAAATATTTAAACAGGCTATCATATCACCTCTTAACCTTCTCTTCTCCAGGCAAAACGTACTCTCCCCATAGGGCATGGCTTCCAGATTCTTTATCATTTTGGTTGCCCTCCTCTGGACACACTCCAGCTTCTCAACATTCGCTATGAATTGTGGTACTCAGAACTGGACAAAGGATTATTCCAGGTGAGGCCTGACCAAAGCAGAATAGAGTGGCACTATTTCTACCTTGATCTAGGCACTATACTTCTATTGATGCAGCCTAGAATCGCACTGGCCTTTTTAGCTGCCACATCACATTGTTGACTCATGTTCAACTTGTAATCTTCTATGAATCCTAGATACCTTTCACGCATAGTCTTGTTAAGCCAGGCATCCCCCATCCTATATCTATGCATTTCATTTTTTCTGATTAAGTGCAGTACCTTACATTTCTCTGTGTTGAAATTCATTTTGTTAGCTTTGGCCCAGCTTTCTAATCTATTTAGGTCATTTTGAATTTTGAGCCCCTCCTCTCGGGTATTAGCTATTCCTCTTAATTTGGTGTCATCTGCAAATTTCATAAGCATGCCCTCTATTTCATCCAAATAACTGATAAAGATGTTGAATAGCACTAGGCCTAGGATAGAACCCTGTGGCACCCCACTGGTCACTTCTTTCCAAGTTGAAAAGGAGCCATTGCTGAGCATTCTTTGGATTCAGCCAGTCAAGCAATTACAAATCTATTTAACATTTACATTGTCTAGCCCATATTTTGCTAGCTTGTTTGCAAGAATGTCATGGGGGACCTTGTCAAAGGCTTTAACTGAAATCAAGATATGCTATGTCTACTGCATTCCCTTCATCTACCAAGCCAATAATTTTTATTAAAAAAGAGGTAAGATTAGTTTGGCATGACTTGTTTCTCTGAAACCCATGTTGACTTTTT